GACTAAAAATTATTCGAGATTTGCAAATTTGGCTGAATATTAACTATAACCATAATTTACCATTCACAAGTTTTAATAACGAGGTCAAACCAATCAATAGGCTGCCTTTACTATTTACATTTCTGATCACCCACAAATACTTCAACAACTTCATCAATTATAAATCACAATATTTTATATCAGAGGGGTTACAGTAAACTCTAGATATTTCGGCTTGGTTGGTTTTTGATATCACGCGAAAAATCCGTTGGTGCTACAGAATTTCGAAAGAGTTCATTTTTCGTACTTCCGCTCCAAACCAGCTATCAGCTATCTACTGTTACTACTGTAACGGACTCTATAGGGTTGCCAGCTCAAAAAATAAATCTGGCATCCGTATTTTTGTATATTTTTAAAAAATTCATGTATGTAGTTTTAGTCAATTAACTACAGAACCTAAATTAATATAAATAACTTCTTAAAAAATAATCAAACTGCGGACATTTCACTTATAAATAAATTCAAATTCAATGCACATGACAGCCCGTATCAGAGCTGCGTTTGTTAAACACTAACATGCCAACTCAGTGACAGACTATTTTTGCCAAGTTATTTTACTTTTTCTTGTTACCTTCAAATAAGACTTGCGTCAAATACAAGTTTTATTCTTAGCTTTCATTTAATTCACAAAACAAGGTTCAACTCATCAATTAAGACCAAGTTGACATTTTTATTGTTTGGTTGTTTGGGCTACTGTTTTAAGTAGAGATTTCAGAATAATGTAGAATATTTTTAAGCAAAAAATGAGATTTATATTAATATGATTATTCTTATGGTGAAATATTTCTTTCTTAGTGTTTTTAGTTGGAACACATAAAACATTTGAAGGACATCATTAGGGATTCAAAAAGATAAAAATTTCTCGTACATTATTGTGACTGGTGGTAGAAAGTTGTGAACCTGAAATAGGGCTAAAGAGAAGTGCGATCAAAAAATCAATGGATCTGTCAAAAAGAGCCAAAAATATCTCGTCCTACCAATTCGCCGTTGGGGACATTTAAACCTGGTCTCGACCCTGTTGCCGCCAACAAATGAAATTACGCGTCGTTCGTCCAGCTACAGAATTCAAATGCCATTAAGTGCGACCACGAGAGCTCAAAGTGCAGGGGTTCCGACGGACAGTTTGACCAAAGAATTTGATGCTATTAATATTAATATTATTATGTGTGTTCCATGAATAAAATTGTGGGTGTACAGTTAACATGTTTCGTACATGTGCATGTGTCTGTACTTATGCAGTTTAATGGGTTTTCGCTTGGTGTGTAGCCCCCCGCCCCTAGCTGGAGTGCCTTTGGGCAGAAAAGTAATGTCAGGTGCTGGGTTCGCACAACTCGCTGATGGCTCATAAAAGCAACATGAGTGAGTGAAGGAGGGCAGGCGCACATGTGCATAATTAAGTTTTGAAATTAAATTTCGTTTCTTCAAACGAAGTTGCATTCTGTGAAAAGAGAGCTGAGTTGGAATGCTTCGTTCGGTTACTTGGCAAGGCTCAAAGTTTTTCTGGGGTTAAAGATAAATGCAACGCAGACATTGCCGCCCTCGTTTTTCGGTACTTAATAGGGTTAATGAGAATTCCGAACACACAATCAAATGAAACTGTATTCGCTTCTAGTATATACTTACAGCATATGTGCACATATGTACGTATTTGTTACTCAACATTTACATTTGCCTGACTGAGCGAAACTGATTGGATTTACCAGATGTTGGTGCCTCACAAATTATGAGAACATTGCTAGAAAATTGCGTAAAGGTGTCAAAATTGAAAACCCCGAAATGAAAGTTAAAAGGACTGGTTTCAAAATGTTGTTTAAAGCAGCTGTGGCCCCGCTGCCTTGTCTCGTACATGTACATAATGAAAATGGTGATGACGCGATGATGCTGTGGTGGTGGCAAAGGCAGTGGCTTCTGTGGACTGTCTTGTTTGAAGTTTGAGCTTTGGCGGTACTGGCGATGGCGAATGCGGCGGAGAGTGTGGCAACCGACAACTTGACATGAGAGTGTCTCGTTTGTTGGTGTCTGTGATTGAAAATGGCAGGCAGGGTGAAAGCTGTTGTCGCCATTGCTGCTTTTCCGGCCTTCTGCTTGCTACCATACACGAAAACTCTTCTCGGCGCTCACGAAATTGATTTATGTATACTACATACATACATATGTACATACATACATACACACATATATGTATATTTATACATGTATGTGCCGCAAAAAGTCCCAACGCATGACAAAATTGTAAAGGTTTTTTTTAAAAGAAGTAAAGATGCAGAAACAGGCTCTATGAAATGTGTGTGCCTTTGTGCCGCGAACGGCTCACGGAGAAGTATTTAGCATTTACTGTAAGTCACATGAACAAGCCGCAAGTAAATTGAGTCTGAATTGTTTTTTGCTATTATTGTGTTTGATCTACCGAAAATAGTGCTTTCAATTTAGATTACAATGGGTTGCGCTCAAAAGCTGGCAATTTAATTTGGAAACAAAACCTTCTTGAAATATGTAGACATGAAAATTCTTTTATAAATCATTGCAAATTGATTGGGTTGGAGAAGATTTGTGAAATAAGTTGCTGCGTATTTTCAGAATTCATTTTTGGTATAGTTTTTATTCAACATTGGTTTTAATTTACTAATTGTTACTAAAAATACTAATTTATGTTTTATGCGAGATTCGGCAACGCTTTCTTCGACGAAACATATTGGTAAATAGTTATTCAATGATTTTCATACAGTGACAAATTTGAGTTGTTTCAAGAAAATACATTGCCAATTTGGCATGTTCTTATTTTCATAATTCATATTTTCAGCCTAGATATTGGTTAAAATTTGAAAAATCATATCCTATTACTATATGAGGGAGTTAGTCCAAACTATAAGTTTGTTTATTTTGCAAGAAATTTTAAACACTTGCTATTGAGTGATTAAAAAACTTTTTAAAGCAAACCTGATTGATTCACTTCCAATCAAAATATCTGAAACTTTTTCATCGTGTTCTGCTAACAATAATTTGGTTTATCAACTAAAGAGCGGATTTACATATTCCATTTGTAAATATTCCATATTTCGAGAAGCATCAGACCATTCAAAATACTTACATAACTCAGTAAATAAAACAGAAGAAATGCTCAAAAAGGAAGCTGTTAGCTTTTCACGGAATTATAAGGCCAATTACATGTTTCCATTTGGTAAAATTTCGAACGGAATTTGGAACAGGGTTATTTGTTAGTCGCTTCTGGAAATACTTTAGAAAACCAGCACACACAAACACACACGTACAAACAAACAGCTACGGACAATCACACTGTGAAAGCTAAGAAAATTAGAAAGCAAACCGGTTGAAAATTGCCAACTTAAAAGCAAGCTGTGCCTGATTTTGAAGTTTTTGCTATGATGCACGTTCATGCATACATACATACATGCTTATGTGTATATATAGTATATATTTATTTGTATGTAGCGTGCGTATGTACATAGTTGTCATAGCTAGAGTCAAATGGTAAGGACCAACTATAGAAACCGCTAGTGATTTGATAAAGAGAAGTTCAGAGGACATGCGACATTGTACTTCTTGCCCATTGCACACGCTGTGTTGCGCCAATAACTTCCAATTCTGAATGCAACTTGAACAAGAGCGAGTGGGACAGTCTAGGAACCTAGGAAACGACAGTACAATATCCTACACACATTTATTTTGGGTGGGCCCCAGATCAATACAAAACCTATACTAAGTACAATCTTTAAATCTTATATGCATAGCTCTTTATCATAACCTTTTTATAAAGCCACCATATTCTGAATTTCAATCAAAATCGGCGCACTATATCACATAGCTAAACCAGTTAGTCCCACTGTAAAGATTTTAAGGGCGTCATAGGTGATGCAAACAGCTGGCAGATGCGCAGGAATAAGCAACCGCCCTTAACCCACCCACTAACTAAACGTTACATAAGGAATTAGTGAACAACATTTCATAAATAGTAACAACAGACAGTCGCATTGATGTTCGTTGAAGAAAATATGTTCTTCATCCCTTGGTAGACATACATATATAATGCGAATATTTATGTGAATTAAGAGGAATTTATTCTGCACACAATGGGTTACAGTTACATTAGGTTTGTGCAAAGTATGCACAAAAAAGCATTTAAAATAAAGTTATTTGTAATTAAGAAGGCGAGAAGAGTCAAATTAGTTCGGCATGTTCGCCCGTTGGGATTTCGCACCAACATTGGAGTTTAAATTAAATTGAAAAATTTATTTTTATTCCAGACACAATTCTAACATTTTTTCGTATTTTAAATTGATTGAGTGAAGTTGTTTTAAATTCGAAATTGCATCCACGTAATTTTCTGAAAATCCAGATTTTGCGCCCGTGCTGTTATTTTTGGCACAATTGTGTTCCTGCTTTGGTTCTAATACATATAAACATAGTATATTGCGCTCCTGCACATAATGTTCCACATAAAGTGATTTCGAGCGCAAGAAATGCCACGAAGTTGTCATTCGGGCATGTTATGGGACGAGGATTGCGGGTGCTAGTCCATCGATAAAATGTATGTTTGTACTCGTGTTTACACAGCATTTGGAATATGCACAAAACTTGGCGTAGTTTCAAAGTTGTCCGCATAGAACAAAAAATGCATATACAAAGTACAACATCAGACATGATGAACGAGGTTCGACGGCAACGTTAACGTCGCTGGCGAACAAACTGCCGGAAGCAGACGAGGGACCTCAGCCGTAGCACTTTGATTAAATGAATTTTTGCGAATTTAGAGCATAAATTAGCTAATTTTCAGATTTATTTCGATATTTACAAATTATGATGTCTGCGAATGAATTGTCTTAACAATTTCTGTAATCTTAAAGTACGTTTCTGTGTATACTTAGTAGATGATTGCGTCATTAGCAATGGAAATAAACTAAGGTTATCTAACTAATTTTCTTCTCTTTCCCTCTTACTTGCAGTTCAAATGCCGCAGCATTTTTGCTCAATGTTAAAATGATTTAAAAATAAATAAATATAATAATTAAGCAAAACGCAGTGATCATTTGTTGCATTTTATACTAAAACAAAAACGTAAGGATAAAAACCAAGTGCATCAACGCAGCGAGCTTAAGCAATCGTAGTACGACTAGTAAAAGACACCACCAATTTAATTTGAGAAGAATTTGAGGGAAAACACGGATAAGCCAACAAATAAAAGACACCCATATCGTACATGAACCTCTAATATTAACCACTTATGAGACATAAAGCAATAACTGCAAGTATAATAACTGCAAACTAAGAAGGAAACAAGACAAACTGCAACCATCAAAAGGCAATTTATTGAACTGTAACGCCGATCTTTCCAAAAGTCAAAACACCCAACAAGAGCAGAGGCAGGCATATATATAGCAATGGAAGACAATAACACAAGCAGCAGTGCGAGCGGAGCACCCGTCAAACACGAGGATCCATCGGTGACACTCACTATAAGGCTGATTATGCAAGGAAAGGTAAGTGTTCGGTTCAAAATCTTTCTATATATATAAAACAGTTTGTCCTAAATGAATGGACTGACAGACGCACAACCTAAACGGCAATTTGAAAAAAGTGTAGGTGAACGATGGTAAATTCGAACTCCAAAGGAGGGGAAACGGGCTTCAAAGTTTGTATAAAAAATCTATAAATTTCCACCAATCGGTTTCAAAGTAGTTTTTATAATCTACGAAAATACAAAAAAAGTGCAAGCTCGTTCTTTACTTTTAATTTTTCTTGGAGCCTGAATTATTGAGGTTTTTCTGGGATACGAAAAGGCCCAAACGGTAAGATCTAGGAAGAGTACTTTAACTTTATATTTGGTTTATATACATACTCGCAAAAAGAATATACGATAAACTAGGTAGAATGCTTTTGAACATTTTCATTGAAGCATAAATGAAATAAATATGTATATGAATATACATCTGAGAGTAATATATGCACAAAATATCGTTGTAAAATTGAACGGCTTTTATTTTAGAAATTACTTGCCTTAAATATCAATGGCATTTATTGTTGTACGTACCGTACGTAGGAAAGTAATTTGTTATTTGGTAGCTCATAGAAATGAGCACAATGTTGGAAGAGAGATATATATCATATCATTGCAAGACCTGCTAGTATTTATATATTTTATTAAGGTGAATCGATTTGTCCACTCACCAGATATACTATATTAATAATGTGTTTGTAAAACACCTTTAAATATAAATATAAGCCCAGTTTATATAATGTTCAAATACTGTATTATATATCTGTCATTAAAATGATGTGTTTGTATGTTACGAAAACAACATATGTACAAGTATATACATACAACCAGTAAGTGGTTCTATAATGTAAGTGCATACAGAAGAAGCTCGTAAAACTGGCCCAACACCTAGAAAAATATAAAGTCCCATGGTACAATGTGTAACAAAATCAGAGATAGCAGTAGCGAAAACAATATAATTATAAATTAACGCGTATATTTTTATGCAAATTTAAATACCATTTGAACCATGTCATGAAAGAATAACTGTTCAAAAATCTTAAACAATATCGTAAAAAATAGGTTCCATAAAACGTAAAGTAATATGCATAGAGAAGCAAACCATAATTACGTGGAAATATGGGCAATAAAATAATGTGCAACGAATAGCGATGACATACTATATAGTACATCTACTGTTTATATACTTTCAAACGCAAACCAGTCGCACAAGCTTCGAAAAAACACAGTTAAGTCAAAAATGTTAAATTAATAGAAATCATGGTTAAAGTTAAACTAGGTTTTACGATGAGTTGACAGAAATACTGTGACAAGCTAAATATCGGCTTATTTAATTAATAATACTTAGCGCTCCGTAAAACTATTATTCAGCAGCATTAGCTTAAGCAAGACAAACAAAAACACATTTAAGCACAGATTAAGCCACCTTAATACCACTGTCAACAGCGACTTGTTAGTTGGCAGATAGATGGGGCTTTAAAGCACGTATTTGACATTGCATGTTTGTCAAAATTTATGTGGCGGTTTTAATAGATTTTTAACTGCCCGGCCAAGTGACCCAGCACTCCGCCGCCTCCGTACATAAGCTGTTGCCTTTATTTAAATCTAGTTGTATGTATATTTGTTTACTCGTAATCGTTGTAAGCACTCGGCCAAATGTAAATTCGGCTGTTGTCGCTGTTGGCCAAGATTCGCTCAATGAAGAGCAGCGACAGGTGTAGTTTGAACAACAGCAGATAAGATGGCGGGACAGGCGTCGACTGCGTCGCATTTACATACCTACATATGGATGCATAATATATTTATGTGTGTGTTTGTGAGTGTGAGTGCATCGGGTGCGCAGCGGGCTAAACCAAATTACATGATGTGCAGTTAAAAACTGGCAAAAACCAACAAAATATTTGTAGACAAAATTTATAACGAAAATAGCCTAGCCGCAGTCGACATAGAAAACTATCAGACAACATTAGCAACAGCGCCAACCTCACGATCACCAACCTCATAAGTAGCCTGCATTGGGAGATGTGCACTGTGTATGTGCGTGTGTGTGTATAGTCCCATGAATAATTTTGCACTTTTTGGCTTTTATTCAATAAAACAAAACAAAACGAAACGGCGACATGAAAAATGCTAGAAAAAGTACATACATACTTGCAAAGTCTCATCAGGCATGCAAATGTTTTCCTTCGTGTTACACCCTGCAGCCGGGGGGATGAAATGGTGTACATACTAGAAAGTCTAAGCGCCAAGTGCTTGCAAAAGGCAGAGGAAGGTGTGACAGACCCCATTTTATCGGTACACGACGAGACGAATCGATATGTCCGAGCCATGGCATCTAGGGACACCAAACTTGTCGGACTAAAGGTATAGTTTTGTGCGACTGTATGTTATTCCATAACTCTCGTTATTTTCGATGCATTCGAACTTATGACTAAAATTTGACATATTTTAGTGCTTATGCGTCTATTTCAAGTTATATAGGGAGACTTCAACTCTATAGAAAGTTATAGCATCGCATAGACGAATGTTTGCCACATTCTGTCGTTCATACAGAGGGACTGACATATTGATAAAAACATATATATGTACATACACTATGCCTTAAAAAGTCTGTCTGTTATTAAATATATAGTATATGTATATAGTCTTTGGTAATCATAGATACCCGTCATCAGACAAGTTGGCCGATGAGTGCAACTACCTCAACCAGTTGTGCAACAACTATGGTTCAAGCCGCCACCGCAATTGCGACCCATTCATAAGACCTATGTGCATGTCAAGGCCAGTTGTTGCCATTGCTGGTGGTGGTGGTGTTGTGGCGCAAATTTTGTACATCTAATTAGCTCCAGTTTACGATTTTTGTGCATGGCTTGCAATTGTTGCAGTTTTGTGTGAAAGTCAGTTAGTGAGTCAAGCCTCAACTCTCAAAGTCGTGAAGCAGTTAATTAATTTATGAAAACACCAAAAAAAAAACGGGCTCAACGCCAAAGTCACGCCAGTCCGACATTTCAATACCCCGTACCCGGCCATTTATCGCCGTATTTCTTCTTCAATTAAAATAAAGGTTTTATTTTACTTGTTTTTACACAATAATTCACATAGTATACTAATATTATTGGATAAAATAATGAGACTATATCTTTGTTTTGAAATAAACTTGCTCTTGTATTAAAAAGACAAGTCGTCATAAACCGAAATCTCTTACAGATGTTTCAAAGGTTCACAGATGAATGATCAATGAAAGATTATGTACAAGTAATTTAAAAAGAAACAGTATATGTAGTTTTGAGATACATGAATTAAATAAATATTTAAACAATATTTGTTAAGTAGTATTTATATTAGGTAAGTAGCGGCAAGGTATGCTGATTATATGTTCATTTGGCAATAACAATAAAAATCTGCTAGTAGTGCATTGCCAGAGATAAAATGTCTGCTTAAAACTTCCTTTGGAGTAGTTCTATTAATAACGCTTTGTAAATGGAAAATGAAGCGGGAACAGAGAGAGAGCCATCACAAAAAGAAGCTCCAGGAATTCCGAGACTTAATATAATATTGATCAAGAATATGGGATGTTCCACGCCCGCTTCTGGGTGTTACATATACAAGCACTAAACTGCTGTACCCTTTTACCTTTGGGGTAGAGGGTACTCGTATACTGAAACAACTATAATTGCGAACTGGCAAACAAAAAGAAAACGACCCCACGCCAGCGCGAGAATGTGAAAATTATAATGAGCCCAGCGACCGCTTGCTGTTCAATGCTGCTGCCGCTGGTGTTGTTGTTGTTGTTGCAGTTGTTGCAGTTTGCATTTGTTTTTGTTTTTGTCGTTCTCTTGGCAGCCAATTGCAAACTGCGCATAACAGCAAATCGGAACATGGGTCTAGAAGTATCGAACGTCGTACTTGTACGTACCGAGCGGGCTACCATTTGCAAATGTCTTGAATCATGCATTTTTAATTAGTGAAATTCTCAGTGCAAGTTTCAGCGAGCACTTGTCTAAAATTAAATTATTTGCTGGGTTTGGTATTGAATCTTAATGCATGCGTTGCACTGATCGAGATCCCTTAAAATGGAAGTGCCATCTTCCATCTTCTGCCTGTTGAGCATCCATTCCCTGTGAAAAATATCGCAATTGGCGGGTGCAAATTGTTTATTTTTGCGGTTTGCATCACTTAGTACACGTATTTGTGCTAGAGGGCGAGGACCCCCCCGGTCAGAAACTCACATGTGGCAAGCACTGTTCAACAAAAACCGAGACAACAACACGCCACATGTCGGCCACATACAAGTAGACGCCCTCACGGCCTGCCTAATGTGTATGGGTTATCCAGCGTTTGTTGCAAGCTGTTTCTTTTTCGTAGCTGCTGAATTTTCTTGCATTTTTCTTGCTTGCTTGATTACTTGGCCCCCATAAATGGTTCTCACGATTTTGCAATTGCTTATGTATACTATTTGTACTTTTTGCTGTGTCTGCTGCTGTTGTTGTTGCTGCTATTGCTGCAACACGCAATTTTATATATTTTTGTATAATTTTCAACGGCGTCGTATTAACCCATTAAGAAGTAGAAAAAAAAAACTGACAACAGCAGCCGAAAATTGCGCGGCAAGCATGACTTGCTTGGACTGCCATGTTAAGCCTCTTCGAGTTGTTACCGCTGCGAGATTCTTTACTAACATCAAAACCGTCTGTCGTATTCGCCGCCTCTGTGACACAATTAGCCTCGCCGTTCTCTGCCGTTTCTTCAATTTGAAATGAGGTATCACAGTTCCATGTATGTGGGGTTATACAAACACTACGGTAGTTGCTTGCAGGTGTGGGTGTTGTTAGTACTTGATAAAAACGAATGCATATATATGTATAGTGTGTGTAACTTAAAAAGTCGTATTGCAAATTATTTCATATTTTGTAGACTTATAAAGACAATCATATATTGAGCCTCAATGTTTTTGGTAGACAGAGGAGGCGTGACTATCATAACGAGACGAATCCATAAAATCGGTCAAGATTCAAGTTTGGGGTATTTTAAAGTTTTATGCGTTTTTTTTTTAACGATGATGAATCCATAATTAAATTTTAATCACGTTTAAAGAAGTATTTATTTATTAGAGATCAATATAATCATTTGAAGCTGGGTTGGGTTGGGTTCGATCGATACGTAAGGATGTTAGATCTTTTAGTATAGGAACGACCGTTTTATGATTATGTTTCATCTTGATAGGTCACTTGAATGGAACTTATAGCAGCTGTTGTTGTTGTGGGAGGTATTTGTCAAATTTGGAGTCAAAAATTCAAAGAATTATGGGCTTTATGGAAAATCACTAATTGCGGTGGAGTGGGGAAATATTTCTAAAATACACATACTTGTATTCTGTGTATTTATACTTATAATGCATAACTCAATGAGATAGCAGGAACTCCACGATGTGAGTTCGTTCCAGAATAAGCAGTTGATTCGAATCACGCCGCAACCATCATGACAGAAGCATTATTAACAAATCTGAAAGTTATCATTTAATTTATTTATTGTCCAACCTACGGCAGATCTTAAATAAAGATTAAAGACTTACAAAAAATAATGTTATGTAGCATCTGGGACTAAAGTTTTGTGTCCTTAGGTCTCCGAGATATAGATGATTATACAAACGGCGTTACATAAAATATATTATAGGGATTCAGGTGTTCATTCGGACAGATTATAAAAATTTAGAAAAGCCAAGGATTCAAATAATACATACTCGTATTACTTAAAAATGGTATATCTCCTATCCGTTGAGGGAATATTAAAAGCTAAAGAGAGAGAGAGAGAGAGAGATGTACACATGTTAGTATGTACTTCTATACTACGAGTACTCCCCATGCCCAGCCACATTCTGATTCAGATTCTTACATACAAGTATAACTGCAACGTGGCATGTTGCCAGCTGCCCAATTTAAAATCTTGCAAAACAATACACACACACATACATATGTACATATCTATGTAGGTATATAAGACACCCATTCCTACGTAAGTGTTATATCATGCCCATCATGCTTATGGTCACTACGCTCTTTACAAAACATTTGAAACTTGGCTCACTAGCAAATAGCAACATCCAAATTATTTATTGGACACAAATGTCAGCTAGAATTGCCATAATTATTAGCATAATTATCGTTCCGCATTCCCCTGCCATTTTTTCGCCCATCTGCACTTAAGACGAATTTTCCGCAAATGTGTTGCTTCGCTGCGTTGTGTAGTTTGTGTGATTTTTTAGGATGAAAACCTATAAATACATTAATTGAGAGCACATCTAACAAGCCTAAGCTGGTCATTTGGTCCTCCGGACGGTTAAATTGTCTCTGCTGATTTTGCAGACTCATTGTTTCCTCATTTGACCTTTGGTTTTTAAAAGCATTAGTGTATAATTAAATTATTCGTAGGCTGTTTGTTCTGCACTTCCCGCACAAGTTAAATGAACAATTTTTTCCAATGTTGCTATTGAGACAATTTGACACTTTTAGGTTGTATCTACAAATATGCCCGACCATTTTACACTGGTCCATTTACATTTGCCAGCAGTTGTTTGTAGCCGAGAACATTTCGTAATATTTTGTTGTACTTTAATGTTTTTGCACAATATTTATGCAAAGGAAAAACTAGTTTGCGAAGCCAGACACCAGTGCTGGTTTTTTGTGGGATAGTGCACATTGCCCGAATGACTTGCAGTCACCCAAAGGTTCAAGCAAGGAATACGAAAAAATTTGTTGGCCAAACTCTGCAACCATATTAGTTAACAAACCCAGTGGTTCAGTGGTTCTGCCCTGCCTCCTTATTCGAAATATACGCATGTACATCCGACTACCATTCGTCGAGATGACAAGACCGACTCATGTGATTTGATTTAATGATTTTTGCAATTTAAAAAATTACACATTTACAAAACTTAAGTCAGGGTGCACTGTAGGATGCCCAAAACTTTTCCTCTTTCATTTAGCACAATTTTTGCTAAACTTGTTAAAATGCATATTCAATTAGGCAACAGCCGAAAGCTACCATCAAGCCATTAAGTTGCATACACCGCAGCCCAATTCAGCTTATCAATGGTTGCTATGCAATGAATGTCATATATTTGATCAATCAGAAGGTCGTTTGAAGTGTGCACCAAAGTAAGTGCGCCTAATGATAAGTTAAAGGACTCAAGTACTATATTTCAAGTCCAATGAAAATTCACATTTCTCATAAGAGCAGCAGCAACTTCTAGGGAGGAACCAACTTCAAACATTCAAACGTTATTTCTTTCTATTTTCGGGTAAGCAGGAAGCTGTAATCAATTCCTCAATTATTTATTTATTTACATTTTTGTAAGTAACAATTATTATAAATTACAACGTTAATAGTCAGAGCAACAAAGACCTCCAGGATAAATTTAAATTTGTCTATTAGATTGACATTTTATTAAAATTCAACTGAAGACATGACTCTGGCGGTAAAATAAAGCATTTAAAATATAGTGTGTAAACTAGTTTTTATATAATATATGAAAGCGTGATCTCTCAAAATTTAAACCGATTTTTTAGCGGTAATATTACAACATTACTGAAACAAAATTAAGTTTGCGACATGTAATGTAATTTTCATATTTATATCCTTTTTATTAATAAATTTCATTAATACGCTCGTGTGTAAAAATAGGTTCAATGTTTGTGCAGGGTATGCAAGGGAAAACGAATTGAAATCATTACAATGTAATCCTATAAAGATATGTTCCTTCTACTGTTGAAAAGTCACTGATTAATTGTTTCAACTTCTTTATATATTTGCAGGAAGTTGGTAGTATTATTGGCAAAAAGGGCGAAATTGTCAACAGATTTCGCGAAGAGGTAAGTTTGTTGTCATATAAAGAATGTTTATAGATAACTAACCAATTTCCTATTTTACCATTAAAGTCTGGTGCCAAAATCAATATATCTGATGGTTCATGCCCGGAACGCATTGTTACAGTGTCTGGTACAACAAGCGCAATCTTTTCGGCATTTACACTCATTACAAAGAAGTTCGAAGAGGTATGTGCTCGTCTGTGTTGGAGTGAACAGAGTGCAGAGTCCTTTGCTCCCAGATCTTATTGCTGTTCCCAATATCTTCACATTACTAACTTCTAACCCGTTGCAGTGGTGCTCGCAGTTCAATGATATAGGCAAAGTTGGCAAAACTCAAATACCGATACGATTGATTGTGCCCGCCAGTCAATGTGGATCGTTAATTGGTTCGTACAAAGTTTAAAAGCATACCCTATGTTGAATTACTCATGCCACATCCACTGCATTGTTTTTCACATCCCAGGTAAAAGTGGATCAAAGATAAAGGAAATTCGTCAGACCACAGGCTGTTCCATACAGGTGGCTAGTGAAATGTTGCCAAACTCTACAGAGCGTGCGGTTACTTTGAGCGGCAGTGCTGAGCAAATAACCCAATGCATCTATCAGATATGTCTTGTCATGTTGGAGGTGAGTTTAAAATACTATCTAGCAGTGAAAAAGCTGCACTAACATATTCCTCATATTCTTTCTACAATAGTCACCACCACGCGGTGCTACCATACCATATCGACCAAAACCGCAAGTAACTGGCCCAGTCATATTGGCCAATGGACAAGCCTTTACCATACAGGGCAACTATGCTGTACCCACCCAGGAGGTATGTTCGATAGTACACAACCTGTGGTCACTTCACAGATTGAAAGCCGTGTTTAAACATCGTGAACAAAATGTACATCAGTGCAACAAGCTATCTATGAAATTTTCTTTGTGTATCTTAACTGTCAAAAAATCAGCTAAATCAACTAAATCCTGCCCATCATTAGTCGTCTATCATTATATTAGTACAATCATACATACATACATTATGATTTTTTTGTAGCCCTTAAATTTTGTCTTTACTTCTGCGCGCGTATAAAAACTTATCCTTTGTGCCTTTTCGTTTTACTTTTGAAATAATTAATTATTAGTTAATGTCAGTATGTCGCCAATATGTATAAAGAAAGCAAACATAATATTATAAGTTTGTACTCCCCACCTAATTACTTGAATTTATTGCTCGGTTTTTGCCAAAATAGCATCCTCTCATCATTTTTCCCTGCCAAACATTTAGTCCCCTTTACGCTCCCCCCAATCGAGCTTTTTAAACTTGTTTAGACATGTACGCTATTGAAGTTTGATCGACCCTTGATGGCCACCTTACTTCCGGTTGTCTACCGTTTTCGCTCATCTCTTTTACCCTCGTCGTACCCAACCCGGAGTTTTCATTATAGTTTCCATAAAAATTTAAATCGAAGCAAATATCTACATTATCTTACAAACATTTTTAAATATATAAATTTTTATTTTTTTGTTTTTTAGTTTCTTTTGCACTCTCTTCTCTCAGGTTGAGCTTGTGTTCGCCTTGTGAGTGTCCTGCGCACTCTCTTCAAGAATGCGTCGTCATTTTGGGGCCCGCACTGTGGCCCGTGGCCAAGTTGCGCTCGGTGCTCGGTGCAGTGCGGGCTGCTCGAGTGAGTTTCCACACGGGCTCGGGGGGCTTAGCCTTTACTATGTCTATCTCAATCTCTGTTCTGTTCTCTCGAGGGCTCGCGTGCAGTGTGGAGAAGTATGTTCAAAATACACTAGCTATATATAAATCCAATAATTTACCTAAACACAACATTATAATATATAAACTCCTTTTGAGTACTAGAAATTGGAAAAAAAACTAACTGTATTGTACCGCAAGCAATAAATAAATACACTATACCTACAAATATCAACCCGTAAAAAATACAGCAAAACCACTTCCACTTATCAAAACAAACATCAGCAAAACTTAATGTCAACATTCATATGTTATCCTGCGTTATGGTATATAAAATTCTTCATTTTTCGTAGAAAACCAATCAAACTATTAATTTCGTTTGCAAATATCCGACAACCAATTGCAAAATGTTCTCATGTAAAAGTCTCTCCACAGCAACAGCATCAACAGAAACGGCAACAACAATAGCGGCCACAGCAAAAAACAAAAATTAAAACAAAAGAAAAGAAAAAGCGGCCGCTATTTTCAATCCAAAAGAACTCAAAACATATGACAATATTTTAAACTTTTAGATATGTTATTTACATTCCACTATCTAACATAAACTAAAGCAGAAAAAACAAAACAGTAGCAACAATAACATACTATTCGAAATTCGAAAATCGTCCTGCCCGAGCCCTCACATTATTCTCCGTATAAATATATCTTTCTCTACAAATGCATACACATATCAAAATTTATCAGTACGTTATTTTGTTGTTAACACTACAATTTCTCAATCCTAGCCCGTATTTGAATTCAAATTTGTTCTCTAAAACAGTTTAGTCCAATCTACTCATAAGTATATATCATCTACTACTACGGTACGAAAAGATTTATGCTAAAGTTTCCTCATGAATTAATACCCGCAGTAAGACAGAATAGATTAAATATTGAATATGGAATTATTTCAATAAATACAACACAATTCTCCCCACATCCTTCCTGGTTATTGTCGGTGGTGGTTTCGATATTAATTTGTAGCAACTGCATTACCGCTGCCATTTCAAATGCGATTAAAGAGTCGAATGCTAGAGTTGCACGCGCCCGACTTGTATGTACTATTTACCCTTCACATGGCTTAGAAGAACTTTAATTAAATGTTTACACATTTTTTTTAGATACTTATGTATTTTAAGTTAAAATTTGTAACATTTTTGTTTGTTTGCAATAACACATTGGTCTATGTGTATATGCTATTCTACTATAATTCACTTATACATACAGTACGAACTTGAATCGCGAAAACAAGAAAATGTACCAGCAGAGCAAGGACAAAGATTATATTCTCGGCTAAGCCTGTCTTAAGAGTGTGCATAGAACTTGACCAAATGGTAATTAAGCTCTCAAAGACTGTTATTGTGATTGCATTGCAATTAGAGATCAAAGTTTTAAGAGTTACAAAAGCTACGACAATACGTCTTAAGCAAAGTAGTAGCGGGTAAAACGAAAAGCACATGAATTCGACCTTTCCCGGAATGCAGGGAAACTGCTTAGCAAGTTTGTTGACTTTAGCTCTAGTCCTTTCGGAGATCCTTGCGCTGCGAAGCAAAAACGGACAAGTCACTTTAGAACGACTTTTCTTTGAAGATGAGGTTGTGGAGTCCGCCACATTTCCTGTTGGTTGTTACAAACACAGGGATTTGGCTAATATAACAATTGGTACTGATATGTGTAAGCAAACGACCGTGTGAGTTATTGCCGTAAGCTTTTATTTGGATCTCTGATGTTGCCTAGTGTGTATTTATCATCATATACAGTGTTTGTAGGATACACTACGACATACTCGTATTACCCAACTATCAACTTCTGGTTGATTAGCGCCATTTTTGACCTACTACTATAACCAAGATCTGGGTTTCACTTGGAGTAGCTAACGTTTTGTCCCTGCCCCTTTGTCTTGCAGCCAGCCCCAAATCGTTGTTCACCACCCGCTCTTGTGCTCGCACTTTCTCGCTCTATAGGTTCATTTTTTTGTGCCACATAAAACAAATATTATCCTGACTCCGATGTCTATATACCTCAAGCCAAGGTTTTATGTTTGCACACTTTTTGAACGGCCTTTCAAAAAAATATTCTTTTTTTTCTGGAAAAAAAAGTTTACAAACTCCATCTGCTAATTATAGTCTTTAAAAACAAGCATATCATCAACAATTACAAGATTTCTTCATCAAAATTCATTTTTGGTAAACCTTTTTTCTACTTTTTCTTCTTTTCAAAAATTTTTTTTTCTGAATATCAATACAAAACCTAACTTCTCGCACCTACTACACTTCAAAACCGAAACATACACAATACAAAAAAATAGACCTGTCCAGTATTTCCACTTGCTTTGGCTACCGGTGGTCTACACGCTGGTATTTCCGGCCTCGCGGATCCTTTGTTGAAGGGGGCACATTTACCAGGAGCGGTACCAGCACACCATCACCTACAGCAAATACCCGATGTGAGTTTTGATTGATATGAAGATGAAGAGGAAAGAAATCGATAGGCACTACATAACCCACCAACAACATGGCAAGAGCAAAACGCCCAACATGTCGGCGTCTATTTTGACATTTTGTTGGATACCACCAGTCACAAGCGACGCCCTTTGTATGATATCCTGGAACCCTAGCTAGCTACATACGAGTATATAGTTTGATTGTTGTTGTTGTTGTTGTTATCCCCGTATACTTACGCTTCCAGCATTTTGTACACATTTTGTAGTATGTGTTGTTCGTCGTCCCGTGTGTTAACTTGTAGTTATTTGTTCCCCTATGCCATTATTTCTTTTACGACCTTGGCGCAACTGTCGCCCACATTTCAATAACATTAAGTAACGCCCTACCCGCACGAAGTTGTTCATGATTTTAAGTCGCTCTTACCACTGGGTGCCACTAAAAATCAGGCAACAGTGGGGCCACGCATCCACTGCATTTACGATATGTGTGCCCCATCCCCCGTCTGGCGCCAAGCTACTCTTGGCTTGGCAATTTTTTTTAAATTTTAAATCAGTGTACCAGTTATATATAATTATGTAGTATATGCATATAGACTCTTGTAGTAAACCCCCGTTTTCCAAGTACCTACCTAGCTGCGAACCCCTCCCCCCAAACTGAGTTGTTGCTTTTTTGAAGTCCCTATTTAAAGAAACACACACACTTCCCAGCATATGTTAATTTATTGAGTTGGAGTTCATATATAAATATGTTTTTCCGTTGATCTTCTACGATTATATTATCCCCCATAGCCACAATGCCAAACGCCGCTTCAAGACACCCATTCGTTCACCTACATACCACGCCTCTCACTCATAGAGCATTTAAATAATATATGATCTACAGAGGAATTATCCCACCCTCTCCCACATCTCTCTCTCTCTCTCTCTCTCTCTCTCTCTCTCTCTCTGTATTTATTTTTGCGGGATTTATCGTTTCATGCCTTTGTTGGTTTCAGCTTTACTTATTTGTTCAAAACTTATTTGCAAGTGTTGTACTCGTACTATTTGATTTGATTAATTTATAAAGCGCGTTCGCGCGACCCTCACATTTTCGCTCAATGTGGCATGTCATTGTGTAGGTGGATACATTCACACACACACATTGCACCCATGTATATATATACAAATGTGTATAGCTTTATATACATATTTATGTGTATATACATATATATATATATACATACATATGTATGTGTGTATTTTGCTGTGGGTTGAATTGGTGGAAAATGTTTAACGACATGAATTCAAAAGACGTTCTGCATTTTGTTCAAACATTTTTGAATCGGACCTGTTATTTGATCAAAATGTATTAAAAATGAATGAAGTAAATGAAACGCTTTAAACCTTTAAACGCGTTTAAAAGTAACGCTACGGGCCTAATTCATGTCATTATACAATGTCGAACACATTCGTACAGCACAAAACACATTATAAATTAATTAAATTATACCATTTTCCAAATTAAAATCAAAACAGAAAACACTCTATACATGCATATTACCACCCATACAAAGACAAACTAAATGTACATACTATATAAGTAGTAGTACATATGTACAAACATATCTAGGTACATTCTACATCCATATTTCTGCCAAGTCTTGCTTTGATTTCTTGCTTCTGCATTCTCCGTTCGTACTAATTTTGCGCTTTGCGTTTTTTTGTTTTATGTTTTTTCTATTTGTTTAACTGTTTGAAAACTGTACGTGCGTTGTGTTGTAATTCCAACCCTCCAAGAAAATAAATTTATATATCAGACGCAGCGAAAAAATAAAAATTTAATATATATACTTATATACATATTCAAAGCCCGAAACCCAGACTCAAAACACTTTGCCATGTCTGGAACCATTTTCTAATTCTGCAATGCATCTTTTTGTGAATCGCTCTGTTTCCCCTACAGGTTGCCAAAAATCCATTGGCCAGCCTTGCTGCCTTGGGTCTTGCTGGCATGGCACCGGCAAACACTGGTGGACTTAACCATACAGGTAAGTCGCTATTAAGTATGCTGAACCTACATCACTGATTCCTGCATTTTCTGACGTTTTCCCTCATAGCCCTCGCCGCATTGGCTGGCTCCCAATTGCGCACGGCTAATGCAAATCGAGCTCAACAGCAGCAGCACGAGATGACCGTTTCAAATGACTTAATTGGCTGCATCATTGGCAAGGGGGGCACCAAGATCGCCGAAATACGCCAGATCTCTGGAGCCATGATTCGCATCTCCAATTGTGAGGAACGTGAGGGCGGTAACACCGATCGCACTATAACCATCAGCGGTAATCCAGACTCGGTGGCCTTGGCCCAATACTTAATCAACATGAGGTAAGTGTGCGTGCACGGGTTCCTAATGCGGCAGTATACGAATTATGTTGTCTTAACAATTTTGTCGAATTGACTTGCAAATTGACAAACATATGGCAGTGTAAATTGCCTACAAAGAAGGTATAAGGAGGTCGGTCTCTCGGTAGCTTAAGAAGGCGCGTTCGAGCTTAGCACGTATTCTACTAATAAACTACTTGGGATAGTGGTCTTTACTTTAATCAACTGTATAGTATTTAAGCCAATAATGATCATGCTTAGTCCAGCACCAAATTAGACAAATTTCTGTTTCACTTTTCAGTGTAGTATTTACCCGATTAGTCTATCCATCATTTTGGCTCAGCGCACACACACATACTCGTACACTCACGCAGACACACATTCATCCATGAATAGACCAAATCCTGAGCACTGTTCTTGACCAAGACTTTAATTCAAAAAACAAATTATCCCTAGCATGTTACAGCGTGGTTTTACAATATTAACTAAACTTATATAAACATAGCTCATAGTATAAATAATATACATATGTATGTATAGTATCAACTAAAATTTCAACTGGCGGAGAAGGAGGAGGAGCAAGAGCAACAAACAAGCAAGTAACAGCAGCTAAACAACGCCACGCGTCGCACTCACACACCACCCCACTGGATCTGAAAATTGGTACTTCAAACTGCAGTTCAACTCTCCAGAAACAAAACATGAAAAACCCAACTATGCTCCTCTCTCCCAACAAACCAAAACCTCATCAAAACAACTAAACCATTCCCACCAAAACAAAACATTAATAAAAAAGCAGATCCCAAAACTCTTTCGGTCAAGCCCTAGCACTAGGCGCCCACAAAAGTTTTCTACTCCTATCATCCAATTTGAACGCCGGTTCAAACCAAAGAACTTTGATATATCCGTACCGTTCCTTCACGTATCCATAAAAAACACAAAACCTCCTTAACCTTTTTGTATAACAAAACACCAGAAATAAAAAAAAGAGACCAACTCAATTCCACAAAATCACGAAATGTTTTGAAATGCGCAACAACCTCACCTAAACAACAATATCCTATTGTTCCTTTCTCTCTTTCTTTCTCTTTATCTATCTATAACTATTCCAGTGTTGAGCTGCAGAAGGCCAATCTTCAGGAGGCGGCCAGCAACGGCGGATCTGCAAGTGGTGGTGGTGTTGCTAGCGGTGCTGGCACAGGTGGTGTGGCAGGTGGTGTCAATGGCAATGTTTCGAGCGCTGCAGTTGGCACGGGCAGTAACAGCAGCCTTGCCTCGGTGCTCAGTGGCAGCAACAACAGCAGCTGTGGTAGCAGCACCGCCAATTCGGGCAACGGTAATGGCAGCGCCAACAGTAGCGGCACAACCTATGCTACCAATGGCAGTACGAAGGCAGGCAGCACAGGCAGTAACACGAATAGTAATAGCTCGACAGCTGTGTCCAACGCTACCGCGGCGACTACAGCGTTCAGCAACGTCATTAATCCGACCGCGGCCGCTGCCTTAGCAAGCCCATTGGCCTCGGCACTGCAGCTACTGACCAAGCCGGGAGCACTGAGTGCCCTTTCCAATCTCAGTGCACTCGATCTGCTCAGCCTCACTACGCTGGGAAACAATAGCACAAGCGGGCCTCCAGTGCAGACCACCGGCGTAAATCGGGCGAAGGGTCACTACGCAACTTCCCGATTTCGACAGCATCAAACGGAGACAGGCATCGAGTCGGAGAAGCCGCGAAACAAGTTTAATCCCTACTAGGAGTAGGCCCACCATCTTCATATTTAACGAATACGCAGATGTACACGTATTTCGCTTTTGTCTATCGACTATTTAAAATTTAGTTTCATAAGCCCAAAAAGTATACAACGGATCATCAACAAAAACCTAGATTTAAAGTTGCGAAAGCTTTAGTTTGCATTCTTGAAGAATTTCACCGAATCCTTTTGGAATTCTAAAAAGGTGTATAAGTATTTGAAGGAAATCCAAGACATTTTTAACTCGTATCTACTCGAACCCAATTTAAAGTATCCACTTAGTTTTTAGTACACAAACGCTATTCGCCTAAAAGTAATATATTCGCGTAACATAAATATGTAGGCGTACATACACACTCGTATATACACACTTATAGAGCCACGAAACCTATATCGAAATCGAATATGCGCACCTGTGGCAAAGGAACACCCAATTGTGCTCTATAATGATATTCTCCTCGACATTTGACCAAGACAAAAAATGCATAAAAAATATAAGGATCCCAGTAGAAATTGGATATTTCCCCTTTTTATATATACACTTACATACATAAAAGTAGGTTTAGAATTTGCCAAATTTTAGTATATCGTTAGGAGTTTTTATCCCTTGTTAACGTGAAAGTTATAGCAAACAACGATGAAGCTCTTCATATAATGTAGCTCATATTTCGATTATATAGTACATACGTGTATGTCGAATGTTTTATAACGCCTAGGCTTATAACTATAATCATACCCATTATATAGGTCATTTGTATGTCACTAAATCGAATATTAACCCTATATACGTTCGGCACATAGTTTAATCAATCACATGCATTGTATTATATGATTTGTCATTAAATCCCTTTACCTACATTTTATCTATGTAGTATGTAGCAGTAAATGTATTGCAAATAGGCTTTAAGTAAGAAAACAAACCATTTGTTGTAGAGGCTTCTTAAAGAAGTCTAAACACAAATTCCAATCGCGCTTGTTGGCTTATTTAGTCCAGGCTTTTGGGCACAACGACTTTTAAGGACCAATTCGCTCTAATTAACGCAATCTACGCAACGAGCGTACAAAATAACACATACACACACACAGAGACACATACACATACATACGACGGCAAAATTCAAAATTAAGGCAACAATCGATACATATTCGAAGATATAAGTATGTTAGAACACAAACAATAAAGCTATTATGTATTAGACTTAAAGTCTTAAATTGTTTACAGATCCATAATTTAACAGGATTATATTAGTTTTTCCCTTTAAGTTATTGTATTTATTATGAAATCGAAATAAATGTAAATCTGTAATTATTATAACCTTCTAATATTATTTCATATTATCATTATTATTATTTATAGCATATACGTTACAGAAACTGGACCCAATATTTTTGGTTTTTATTAGAAAACATGGTCTAGACAGCAAGAAGTATTTGAAAATTGAAAATTTTCTCGATTACATACATAAACATAAAAACTATAAGATTATTTTATTAAGCATATTGATAATGATTTGATTTGTAACACGTCAGGCAAACAAAGCAGCTACCAGGCTTACGATTTCTGTAATGAAATCTTCAAATACACAATTTAATAAATACATATGTATGTATATACTTATACTATATATCTATGTGACAATTTTACACAATATCTCAATTTAAAAATAAAAATTTATAATTAACAATTTTAACATCAATAAATTCATACTAAATAACGATGCATCAAATAGTCGACTCTCCAAGCACTTGTGAAATATGAAAGGCCCAGAGAAATAATTGAATCGAAATAAATATCATATGAAAAACGTATACATATGTATAGTGTATGCAAATAATTCGAAATACATACTATATGTAGTACCCAATGCTGTATCATGACTAAGACGGCTTAGGCTTTAATTAATTGGAACCTTGCATAAAAAGACGTAAAACATTTGGGCTTTTATCCAATATCGTATATTTCTGTTATGTCTCCCGATACATCTGAGCTTTCTTATCCATAACTCCCTTTCGTATTTTTAATAAAATTTTCGAAAAGTTTCACAGAAACGTACTAGCTAATCGAGTTAGTAGTCATTTGCATAAATGTATTTCCCAGAAATTTCAGTTAGCAAACTTTAGTGGAATACGCTAGTAGAAAATGCATAAATGAATCAGATAGTTTTGTTGAAGATATCAATTTGCAGTTTAGATAAAGGCGACGACTTCTTTGGCTTTTTGTTTAAGGTATTCAATAAAATTATTCATTTCGACCAATGGGTGGTAAGTTTAACAGTTTTTAATTGGAGATAAGGTATATAATACGGATATGAGTCCGTAAAAGGAAATGGTTGAACTTTCAATAAGCATCCAGTTCAGCCTCGGCCTTGTCTTACTCTCTCTCCTCATCTATTTTTCAGGATATCAATGGAGACCGCCGGACTACCCATACCTGGTTACCATTACATTGCACCAAGTGCAATTGTCAAAACACCCATTCACTAGATACAACAACAGCAACATCCGCAGCTACAATATACGCTAAATCGAATACACCGATGACTTGAACTGGGACTGGAACTGGAACTGGCTGTAGCCATCGACAAGGACAAGGCGCAGCACTTGCAGGACAACATCAAAAGTAAAATCATAAGCAATAAATGAGAGAAATCATAAATGACAATGGTAAAAATCACCTTTTCTCTCTCTCTCTCTCACACACACACACACACACACACACACACACACACACACAGTAAGCATAAAGCACCACATAAACGTTATATTTATTCATTGATTCTTATTAATTATGATGATATTTTCATTAAGTTTACAAACATATAACTTTATGTTAAACCGTTTTAGGGGCGCGCATCGCCAACGATGCCCGCTTCAAGTAAGAACAGAACAGCAATTAATTGTAAGTTTAGTCAAAATGAAGACAAACGCAAAAGCAAATGCAAAAACAAAAACAAAAACATAACCGAACAACATAAACAACAAAAAATAAAAAAAAGAACCCATATCTAAATGCAGTTAATTTTAAGCCAAGCTATCGTGCGTGAGCATAACCAAAAACGATATAAAATTACAAAAGCGAAGAATACATAAAACAATTTAAACAAAAACAACCAATTAAGAAGAACAAACGCCAAATTAGGCCAATTAGCAGCAGCAGTAAGCGAAGAGACAGAATTAAAATGATTTATTTTTCCACAAGTTGTGTTTTTTTTCACTCGTACTACTTATACGAGTGTATGTAAATGCTTAGCACATATAGACTAGGCAGGGCAGACTACATACATATATAAATTAACAAAATTTAATTTAATTTCTTATTATTTTAATTGTTATCGAAATTGTATTTGTGATTATTGAATATGTTTAGACTGATGTGCAAAATTTATTGTGTTTATTAATTAAACAGCAATATTATTATGAACTAATTATCATTTATGTATTTGAGGACTTGTAATGTTTTAATTTATTAAAAACAAAAACGAAAACGAAATAAAAACTAACATTAAACAAATTGGTTTGAGAACCGAAGCTGAACGCAACTTTAAAGCCAAATTTTTCTCTCACACTAAACTAACATTGTTGTTATTCATTATTTGACCAGTTGGGTTTTTAGTGAAAATTTAATTTTTGTAAATTTTTATAAGTACATACTTGTGTTTGTACTATACATACAAATTTCACGATACAATAATAATTTAGAAGCACTTGCGGCGATTTAAAAGACTTTAACTAAAGCGCGGAAAAAGATAAAATTTATTTAATTATTATATTACAATTATGCTTAAATTACAAGTATAATTTTATTTATTAGATGTTAAATTTATACGGAAAACAAACAAAAATAAACTGATTTTCAATGTTAAAATTACATATTAAAATATTTTATTATTTAAATATACGGCTGCAGAATGCTGTAGAATGGTGTGCTATAACAAATATTTACCAATTAATTTTAAGCCACAGATATTTAAAAAAAAAAAAAACCAAGAACGTCTTATTAGCAATTATAGCTATATTCAAATTAGTCTATTATAGTCTCAAAAGGTGGCAAAGGCACTTAGCCAGAACAACAATCAGTGAAGGTGAAACTTGTTTTGCAACTTCTTCGCTTTGTGCGACTGCTCTACGCTGCTCTCAGTGGCAAAAGGTGTCAAATTTTAATGTACCGCTACATAATTATTTAGTAATATGTATGTAAACGATCATAAACAAATTACCAAAACATATCCGCAAGAGAATACATTTAAATACAACATAATTATATACATACAAACATATGTATATCATCACTGCAAATACAGCAACAAAGTTGATTTTTGCAGAACACAAAACAAACGTATAAAAGCAAACATATCCCGAAAAACACTCACACACCACACACACACAAACTCACTCACTTCAAAACCAACAAAAATGGACAAATATGAATTTCTAATCGTTTGTCCGTCTTCGATTAGCCTTAGATTACAAAATGCCAACTTTGACAGAAACTCTGCTTTTAGTGAAGTTGTTTGTTGTTATTAGGCCCATCAAATGGGCACCAAGGGTGGCTTTGAGAAAATGTCGATACCCCGTCGAGAGTACATACATATACACATACAAATTTATATTGCCAAATTAAGCACTTAATTTTCATAATTTAAGGAGAATTTCTCAATGTTTGAAAGCTGCAGCTTTCCAAGTTTTCAAATTTGTGATGCAGTTTTCTGACCGCCTTGGCTTTGTAATTGGTTATTAAGAAATAACTTAGTTGGCAATTCATCTCTTTATACACGAATCCAATATACATATGTAAATGGCAGTTTCTTTTGTTTTTCAAAAGTTCTTATCGAATTTCCAAACATAGTCTAGTTTTTCACGCTTTCATGCCTTGCATCGAAACACGAAGAGAACCTTATGAAACAATAAACTTGATTACAGGAAATTGTTAATAGCATAAACATAAATGAATTAAACGTCATGATACCAAAAGTAAGTGTTTATAAATAATAAGCATTCATCACAAGTGCATGTATTGAAACTTTTAGCGATAATACAACAATACATAAAAGCTCACGAATATGCTAAAAAGTTAAATTTAATTAAAATAAAAAAAATGAAAAACATGAAGTGGATCAAGCAAAAATTGCGACGCGGGTGGCAAAATATCAAGCGAAACTATTTCGTGATTTTAGTGACAAATATTTCGCTGGAGACAAACAATTTAAAGCAATCATTTTTGAAACAAAAAACGTGTTAAATCGAACTTTAACAGAAACCCCGTATATCTATATATAAATATATATACATATATATATTTAACAAATTATTTATATCTATATAGAAATATACATATTAAACAAATTATTATGTACACTTGTATTTAATTGTATTTTAAATATTTAGTAAATTTTTTGCGAGAGTTATTAATATAAAATGAGCGAGCACAGAGGAAGACGATCAGCGGTGGGTAACTGGGAATACATATTTGTAAAATAAGAATAATGCATAAGTGTATGTGTACAATACTTACTGACGTGAATGTGGATGAAGACTCAGATATTTCAAGAGGTTTTTACTAATATTTGTATGTAATTATTAAAAGTATAGCATTTTGTTGAAATCTTGTAAATTTGCCAAGGAAAAATACGTGTAAGAAAAGCAATTTTAATGGTGCCTTAAAAACCAAACCAAGCAAATTTCTTGAAAAACTTGCCCCCACAAACCAACCGTAGCGTTGTTTAGCGTTGCCAATGGCATGCGAGTTTTCTATTATTCTCCTGTCCGATTAAAATGTTCTCAGATACTTCCAAGCTTTCCCAGTTCCATCACGTACGGTAAGGGCCTGTGTAATGAATGGATGGTTGGGTGCAAATGCATTGAATTTGCAGTTACCTTTCGATATAAATGTTTTATCTCCTTGGACCCGTTCTTACGTACACTCGTACACTTGTTGCAGTCAGTTTTTCGAACCAATCCCATAACTTCCAGCAGTGCGTATAGTTGCCCGTTATCAAAAAGAGTCGGACACCCTGCCCATATGAGTATGTGTCGACAATTTAACTCGGATTATCCACATAACTATACTGACAATTATGCAGAACTTAAACAGGGTTTTATATGTGGATTAGGGAACCAGTAATACATACATGCATACGTATATACATTCATACTATATGGTATAGCTACAGCTGAGAGCTCACGCCATCACACCAAAAAAGACACCGAGACTCGAATTCAATATACATACATACATACATAC